TTATAATAAATCTCCGAGTAATATCAAATATTTGACAATATCAACATTACGCTATTGCGTGACACTAGGTCCCGTATGTATTAATTTATTCAGAGTTCTCGTTAGGTTCATGTATGTTGTGAAGTAGCGATCCTGTGATCATTAAAATACTATTTCAAACCCCAGCTTTAAGCACATCTTGTTACATGGTGGCAGCCGGTAAAAGGACAATTCAGCGAACACAATGTCGGACACAGAGGAAACAAATAAGGGAGACTCAACCTCTAAATAAGACACATCATCACACACGCCGTCAGTCCACGTGAGTGTAAAACCACCCAATCATCTAGACATCTCAAGCTCGAAAAGCCCAGCCAAAGCTTGGCAATTATGGAAACAGATGTGGGAAAACTACGCCATTGTCACCAACTTGGCTTCCCAGCCCAAGAAATACCAGAAAGCCGTGTTTTTATGCACTATAGGTCAAAGCGCCTTGGACATACACAACTCGTTCCACTTCAATGACGACGAAGACCGCTCTGACATTGCCACAATGATCTCAAAGTTTGATAAACACTTCACTGGCGAAGTCAACGAGACGTATGAAAGATTTCAATTCAACCGGCGAACACAGCAGTCAGGTGAGAATTTTGAGTGCTACCTCACGGCGTTACGAAATCTCGCCAAATCATGTAATTTTTTCAAGTGCATGAGTGATTCATTAATCCGGGATCAGATCGTCCTCGGAATCAGAGATGATAACGCCCGAAAGAGGCTTCTACAAGAGAGAAAACTTGACGTAAAACACTGTATTGACATTTGTCGCTCTACTGAATCGGCAAACGCCCAATTAGGAGAGATTAATGAAAGTTTTGCATCTGTATGCAATGTTGACAACACAAAAGAAAAACCGACAAGATTTAGGCCCCAAACAAAACCTAGAGCATCAAAAGGTCCGAAAGAAAGTAAATGCAAATTTTGCCTCACCACTCATGCATTTCGCAAGGAACTATGTCCCGCATGGGGGAAACGATGCAGTGTATGTGGAGAAAAAAAACACTGGAGAGGCTCGATGGTGTGTAAAAGAAAGGAGCGAACAAACGCTGTAGAGATAGAAAGCGACGACTATGACTCTGATTTTGAACGACTATTCACCCTAGAACACCTGGTCAATGGGGTGGGACATAAGACAAACCAAAATACCATAATGTGTGAAATGTTTATTGAGTCCAGAAAAGTCAAAATGCAGGTAAACTGCGGTGCAACCGCCAACATCATACCAAGCAGCAAGATCGGAACAGCATCAATTAGTCCAGCCAATATTACACTTCAGATGTGGAACAAAGACAAAAAAAAAAAGCACTTGGGAGTACAAAGCTTGAAGTCACAAATCCCAGCACCCAGAACAAGTACCGCCTGAAGTTTGTGGTCGTTGATGAGGAACTAGCACCCCTTCTGAGTAGAAAGGCTGCAGAACGAATGGGTCTTATCACGGTGAATTATGACCAATTCGAGAGTGTTAACACGGTCAATGCCATTTTTCCAAAACAAATCACAGATCAGTTCCCAGATCTCTTTGATGACCAGATAGGATCCTTTCCAGGAACAGTCAAGCTTACACTAAAAGAAGGAGCTCAGCCAGTTATATGTCCTCCCAAACGGATACCCCTTGAGGAGATAGACAACGTCAAAGCGGAGTTAGAGAGACTAGTTAACATTGGCGTAATAGAACCCGTTGAACAACCTACCGATTAGGTCAACCAGATGTCGATAGTAACGAAGCGAAATGGTGAATTGAGAATATGTCTTGATCCAAGAAGCCTAAATAAGGCCCTAAAAAGAGAACACTATCAGCTGCCCGTACTCGAAGACATCCTACATGACTTGAAAGATGCAAAATTGTTCAGTAAACTCGATCTAAAGAATGGGTATTGGCATTATGTGTTAGATGAACCATCTTCTCTGCTGACCACGTTTGCAACACCATTTGGGAGATTCAAGTGGCTAAGACTACCATTTGGTCTCAATGTCAGCTCCGAGATCTTTCAAAAACGTCTGATTCAAGCACTAAAAGGTCTCCCCTGCACAGCACCCATTGCGGATGACATCCTTTTATATGGCAAAGAAGCTGATGGCTGTGACTCGGGATTCACCATTATCAAAACCTCATCATGCTACTTAAGCGGTGTCAGGAGAAAGGAATCAAACTAAACAAAGGAAAGGCAGTGCTAAAGACAACGGAGATAGAGTTCATGAGCCATCTAGTCACATCACACGGTCTTAAAGCAGATCCCAAGAAAATCGAAGCAATCGTCAAAATGGACAAACCAACTGACAAACAATAGAAAGGTGGAGGCTGCTGTAAAAGCAGCAAAGAGCATATTACGTAAGACAAAAAACCTCATGAAGATCAATACCTTGCACTACTGGCAGTAAGAAACACACCATCCCAAGGAATTGGCCGAAGTCCTGTACAACGCTTATTTAATCGTAGGACGCGAACTAGGCTACCCACGACTAACACTCTACTACAGCCCAAAGTTGTGGAAAAAGAGGCTGAACAAATCAAGATGAAGAAGCAGCAACAGAGGCAAGCACACTATTATGATAGAAAGGCTAGAGAGCTCACACCACTACACGTTGGTGACACAGTTAGAATGAAGCCGTTCACACTTGGTGACAAGTCGTGGAAAAAGGGCTTGGTTACGGCACGCATTGATGACAGGTCGTACATGGTAGAAAACCAGGATGGGAGGCCGATGCGTCGAAATCGAGTACACTTGAGAAAGTCCAACGAGTCATCAGCAGCCCAAGCACACGATGATCCAGAAATTGAACAACGACTCGAGAAGGGCAACACCGAAGATACTCAGGAGCAGAACATACCAGGAGAGGAGCAGATAGTCACACGCTCTGGCCGTCCAGTCAGGAAGCCAGTATACCTCAAGGACTATGTAACACGCTAGATAATGAACACTGTCTAAGCATATGTACTCTATGCTAGTACAGCAAGTTAAATGACAATGCCAGTTTATATTATCGTATCAGAAGCAAATAATATATATCGAAAAAAAGGGAAGGATGCGACAATATCAACATTACACTATTGCGTGACACTAGTTCCCGTATGTATTAATTTATTCAGAGTTCTCGTTAGGTTCATGTATGTTGTGAAGTAGTGATCCTGTGATCATTAAAATACTATTTCAAACCCCAGCTTTAAGCACATCTTGTTACAAAATAAATACCAACTTAAGGTTTGCTAATCGAATTACCTATTACAACTTAAAATTTTAAAAACCTAAAACATGGTATATGGCTATTTCAAAAAAGGTTGTCGGATAAAATGGCGATTGCACGACCGAAAGATATCCATGTGTTTTGATAGTTGAAATGCAATAACAACTGATTTACACTGTAAGATGCTCTGTGGTAAACATTGGCTCCATTTTAATGTAATGTGAATCAAATAGGTGGAATTCTGCTTATCAAAATAGTGTAACTCAGCGCCGTAGCCAGAAGACAATGTTAACCGAGGCACTGCACTTTACGCGACCGGCGGAAGCGGTCGTATCTAGGGGGTTGGCGGGCATGCTTCCCCGAAACATTTTGAAATTCAGAAACTCGGAAACGTGATACAGCGTTTTGCCAAGCATATTGTGACTTTTTTTATCTTACACCATTGATCGAACTTTTTTATTTTGAATACAAATTAAAGAAAACTAGAAAATTTTGCCGAGGCAAGTGCCTCGCTCGCCTGATCGTAGCTACGGCGCTGTAACTATAGTCCCTTTCGGTCGTGCATCTCCCTTCGAAAATCGCCGTTCGCCGTTCTCCCCAACAAGGTTTTTTGAAATAGCTGTATGCAAATGACTATGTTATTGTCTTGTGACAACTGTACCACAACGTTAATGGGGTTGATAGTGCCTTAATACTAAAGGACTTCAAAGAAATACGAAGGATTTTTTCTGTGTGCAAACTTGGCTGTTTTTTAGCTAAAATGATGAATAAAAATTTCTTTCTTAAAAGGAATTTAGTCATGAACTATATAAAAACTGATCATGATTTTACGTAAACTTCTTCCAAAGATTTAATTTTGGAACTTAAAACCACTGTAAATTTGGTGGTCAAAGTAGTGGAAAGAAGGGAAAACGAAGAGTCGATAAGAACTCAATAGTGAGGGTAAAATGGATTCATCATAACGGCAGAAGCAAAACCTTAGAAATCATCAAAGTTGTAAAGCATGGAGACAAAAAAGCCGATAATACTTCTAA